TTCAATAATAGGAAAAAAAATAAAAAATTTTAAAGATTATATTCGTAGAAATTCCGAGAAACAATACAATGTTTTTTTGCTACCAACTTCATGCAGACTTAGTTGAGTATATTTGGGCTCATATTGCTATCAACTATTTTTTTTTCTACTATTTTTAGTTTGTAATCTTAATTTAAGTTTTTTTTATGTACTAATGTTATTTGTATTTTCACGATTTTTAAATTAAGTATTCTAATTAAAAAGTACATTTATTTTTATTAGGAATAGAGTATAAAATTTATATTGAATGAGTGGATAATGAGTCTCATATATATGGATTTAAATGAATGGATAGGAATGTGGGTGAATGTTTAAATGAGAAGATGTTTAATGGAATGATGATGTAGACATGAGGTGAATAAGAGATAGTGTAAATTGTGATTAAATGAATGTGATGGGATGTGGATGCCTGAGCATCTCCAATGGTAAGCATGAATTGTAGTGTATGTGATAATTAAATAGATAGTCTTACATCCACGTGGAAGAAATAGATGTTCAAACACATAAAAAGTCTCCAATGGTTTATTTATTCGACTTAGAAAATATGACTTATCATGTCTAACAAGACTTCTATATGTAGAAGAACTTCTGGATTTTATTCTTTCTCTCTGTTGCCATGTCATTAGGAATAGAATCTAGACATTCACAGTTGGAGACATTTTTTATTAAACTTCTTCCACATTTCTACAATTAACAACCCATTGGAGATGCTCTAACATAGCAGCGATTGAACACTGCTTCAAGAAGCAGGGGAAAAAAAAAAGCACAACCTTTGATAGTTTTTGATGATATAAAAATTAAAAATATGCTTATTTTATGGTTAAGTTCATTACTATTATTATTTAAATGTGTAGCTAGAAATTATATATTTAATATCTACAATTTATAAATATATATTGTTTCCCAATTCAACGTCCGCAATAAGAGGGAAGAGAGGTTTACCTTGTTTGGCACGTCTGTTGTTTTTAGCTCAATCAAAACTATAAATACATTGCGTTTTGCTTCTTTCTCTCTCTCTCTCTCTCTCTCATTTTTTTTGCAATTTTTGTTTGCTATAAAATTTTGCCATTAATTAGGGTTTTCTCTTAAACCTTTCAGTCCGCAATCAACTGAACAATTGTTTATCCTTCAATCTTGGAAAATAACAATCAGGTTCGTGCCCTTTGTACTTTGACTTTTCTTTTCTTATTTCTCTCCCTTTCTACAATGCCCGAACTTGTGTATGTAGCGATTCTATTAGAAGTAATCTTTGACAATGTCTAATATTCTTCCATTTTGCAATAATCTTCCCAAGTATTATTTGGGTGAAGGTGTATGTATGTGTGTTTTTCTCTCAGGTAGATTTTACTCACAAGTGAGTGTAAAGTTTATTACTGTTTGATCAACATAAACGTATACACCTGTGTGAATATATATATGTTTGCGTGTGATTCAATTCCCTTTTACATTGTCAGTTAATTGTGAGGAGGCCATGTTTTGTCGTTTGATGAGTCTTAATCAGTCGTTTTAAATTCTTGGTTTACAATGATTGTGTGCAATACATTATTATATTTTTGTTTTATCTTTATGTTTGGCATATTATAAGTCAAACCCCGTTTGCACAATGGAGTATGATAATTACCAACAACTTTTTGTACATCACATGAACATTATAATGTTGCATCTACGTTCAATTCTCCCTAAATTGATATGAATGATTTTTTGGAATTTTATGTTACCAAGTTTGCTAATAAGTACATTGTTTAGAAAGTCATTTTTTGTTGAAAAATATTTACTTTGCCGGGGTTTTGCTAGTTCTTCCGTTATTATGTTTATTTTGTTATGGAATCTAGTATTGAAAATGTGTGTGTCTATATGCTTCTTAAATTTCTGAGACCATGTACTGTACAAGGCATGGATATTATCAATATTTTGAAATACTTGAATAGAATTTTTTAAACAAAACGAGCCGCTCGTGCATTCAGCGTGACTCAATTCAATTCGTTAAGGTTCGAGCTCAGTCTCGTTAAGGGTTAATATCTTCTAAATTTCCATTGTGCACTGCCAAAGTTAATTTTCAATAATTTTCAAATCCTTATTGTGAGGAAATGAATATTTTTGTTTGAATGCGAATTATTAAGGGTCTATTATCTATGTCGTTCATAGAGATTGGCATTTTATCATTAGGTATCATAAAGTCGAAAATATATAAATTCATATATGTAGGACGAAAAATTCAATCAAGTGCCCTCAAGGTTTTTTACGGTTGGATCGTGTGTTGATCTCAACTGTAGAAAACTTTGCCCTCGCGAATTGGTTCGAATTTTTCAATTGGTCTTACTCAGACTAAGGGTGGTCATGATCATGATACAAAGCTGAATCACTTTATTTTGTTTTTGTTTTTGTTTCTTAATCCTTATCCATCTTCAGGGCTCCTTAATGAATTTTCCGCATCTGCAACCAGAAAAGATACCAAGGCAAGCGTTGCACACGATTTTTTCGGGTCACTTTTGTACATTTATCAATTATCATTTTATTCGTTTAACTAACATTGACGTATGTATTCTTAACTCGACGTGCTTTATTTTTCGGCAAGATTTGTTACCTCTCTTCTTACTTTCAACGGAAGCTTTCGGTGTCATCTGTTATCGTGCCTTTTTTTTTTTTTATTCATTTATAAAAGATGACAAAACTTGGCACACATTTTTAAGTTCTACATTGTACACACATTTTTTTACATTTTAGTTTTGTAGAGAGGATCAATTTGTTCCTGTTCTGTATCATTTACAAATTCATCATAGTCATGGCATGATCATGTAGTTGGTGTAATAACGTTTGCTTTTCCGCATTGATTCTAAACTTGGAATTACGATTCATTTGTTTGTAATTAATGTTTGCTTTTTCCAATTTTTCCTAGTATAAATGCATAGCGTCTTTGAAGATGAGGTATACGTATCACCTGGCTTTAGAACAATTCTGTTTTTCTTTTATTTTTTCAGATTGTGTTAATTTCTTCATTTTTTTTTTTAAAGAAAAGAAAATCGGTGATTTTGCGTGTTAATATAACCGTAATTTTATGTTGCGAATCAGATTTCACGAATCCTCGACTTAATGGACTGCACACCAGGCAACAATGACAAAATCACATTGAAAAGATGGTTTTTCATCGATAAAAGGGTGGGTTAGTAAGGTTATATTATCTGCCGTGCTTTCTGAGGTACAACTCGTTTGGTCGTTAAATTATACGCATTTTATGGTAAAAAAAAAAAACTCCCTGTTTAAGAGCCTCCGAAAATCCGATGGACGTGAAGAAATCCTCGCCGATTCTTGCAGGCCCCATGCCGCTAAATGAAGATTCGAATCTTGGGATCAAATCTGGAGGGTTGTCATTGTCTACAAGCATCCCCACCGTTACAAGGAAAAACCTCGGTGATATCTTTTCCAATGGCTGTCTGGATGCCATGAGATCATCCTCTCCTCCTCGCAAGAAGATCTCGAAAGATTTCGACGATTTTGTCGACGATGATGTCATGGACGATGCGGAAATTTCGTATCTCTCTTGGATGGTGCGTTTTTTTTGTTATTATTAATTGTCATTGTCATTGTTATTTTTGTTTTAAATGTTCGATTGAGTTTATGTTATGTTTTTTATCGAGATCTTGTTATAATTGTTGCAGATTAAATACCCATCGGCTCTTGATTCGTTCGAGACGATCGTAGATCGTGCGCGAGATGGAAAATTGGTCATTTTTCTTGACTATGACGGCACTCTTTCACCGATTGTGGATGACCCGGATCGAGCTTTTATGTCCGATGATGTAAGATATGTGATGATTTAATGCATCTACTAATTTCTCTAATTTTGGATTTTTTATTTTTTATTTTTTATCATGTGATAAATGTGATTTCGTTTTTATCAGATGCGATTTGTTTTAAGGAGCGTCGCGGAACATTTCCCGACCGCAATCATTAGTGGAAGAAGCCGTGATAAGGTGCGCGCATATATATATATACACAAATTTCTAATGGAAAAGTCCAACGACAGTTTAAATATTTGTGTTATTATGATATCGATGTATGTTATTCTTGTTAAGGTTTACAAATTGGTCGGACTCAGTGAACTCTATTATGCCGGTAGTCATGGAATGGACATAATATTCCCGGCCAAAGACATGGTTAATCTAGAAAACCATTCGAATTGTGCCAAATTTACCGATCACAAGGTATTTACCTTTTCGCTAGCTCGTGATTTGTTGTTTACGTTTTGTTGTTTGGTCATGATTCGCATTTTTGTTTAACGAACGATTGTATAGGGAACGGAGGTTAATTTATTCCAACCGGCGAGTGAATTTATACCCATGATTGATGAGGTTTGTTATTTCGTAAAAACTTAAATAAGTTTCATATATCTATCTGAAAAACATTGATCTGGTTGACTAAATAGCCGCGCATTTCTTATATTTTGTTGATTTCCAGGTTTTCAGAAAGTTAGTTGAGATTACACAAGACATAGAAGGCTCGAAAGTCGAGAACCATAAGTTTTGCGTCTCTGTACATTACCGCAATGTAGATGAAAATGTAAGCATATTTAACTTACTTCCCCTCCCTTAAAATTTTATCAAACGTCACAATTTGTCTTATAAAGTAAGATTTTTTGTCTTGTTTGAACATCAAAATTGCAGAGGTGGCCCGTCATTGCGCAATATGTTCATGATATTTTGATAGACTACCCTAGGCTTCGACTAACTCATGGACGAAAGGTAATTTGTCGAGAAAAAAAAAAGTTAACATGATTAAAAAAGCGAGTCGAATTTAAGTTTTTGTTCGTCATATATATCTTGCTATGATCAATAGGTTTTGGAGGTTCGTCCGGTGATTGACTGGGACAAAGGGAGAGCAGTCGAGTTTCTTCTTGAATCGCTAGGTGCGTCGATCGATTAGACCACTAATCCTTGTCAAAATCATATACCGATTTCTAATTCAATTACGATATAATTGGTCGTGTAGGATTTAACAACCATAATGATGTTCTCCCGATTTATATCGGAGATGACAAAACGGATGAAGATGCATTCAAGGTAAGATAAACACACAACATACTTGAATTTTTCTTCTTTTTGTTTTTACTACAAAATGAGTAATTTCTTTAATATACATTTACTTTTATCATATATTTTGGGAAGACACATATCATCACTTCAAAAGCAATCCTAACATTTGAAGAATTGTACAACTTCAAGAGCCACTCTTTGGGTTTCAATCACTTCATCATTTTCTTTTCTTCTGTTTCTATTTTGATTTGTAAAAATGGATATATTTTAAGTATGAGTTCAATAAATTTGAAGTGTATAAATTATAACATGCAATCAAACAGCAAGTTGGGAGTCATAAAACTCAAAACTATAAAAAAAAAATATATATAATAATCAAAGAACATTAGTGTCTAATTTGGCAGTTTTTGAATAAATGATAATTGTTGATTTATAGTTGAGTTCAATTTGGAGAAAGCAGTGAATTTTTTACCAGAACGATAGGAAATTCTCAAAAATCAAAATAAGGAGTTTTGATACAAATAGATCAACAGTCTAACATCGAAGGCTAAGCCAGAGACCACTACTACAACTAGTAGGGTAGAATACACAAATCAAACAACACCAAAGGCAGTGATAATAACCTGAGCCCTCCAGTGCAACCCAAACAAAGACATAGGCTAACAGATACAAACCAAAAGAAAAAGAATAAAGAAAACAGCCACTGAACTGTCTAAACAGACCTAGCTAGTCTTCCTTGTCCCTGGACCTTTCTCTTGGAGTTCACTTTGACAGCTTCTTGCCATTCTTCCCAAGCCCCTGACAGTATGCCTCTCTCTTTCCTCCAAACTTTGTCAAAAACCCAAAGGTTTCTAGCTTTCCAGAGCCACCACAGGATGTATGTGGTGAGCTCTATTCTATCCTCATCAATGGCAGTCTGGTTGATGGAGCAAATTGATCCTCACCAGTCTTTGAAGGTGCAGCCTGGAGTCTTCATTCCATCCCAGTCCAGCTGTGACTTTCTCCACACTTTTTGTGCTCTTGGACAATCAAGTAGAACATGTTCTATGGTTTCTACAGTTTCCCCACAGCAGCTGCAAATAACATCAATCTCAACCCCTTTGCTCCTCAAGTTTGTGCTAACTGGCAGGATTCCTGAGACACATTTCCACAAGAAGTGTTTGATTTTCCCTTTGGTATGTATGCTCCATGTTCTCAATCTCATCTTCTGGTTCCTTGTGGATGTGCTGCTGCCTTCTGGAATGTCAAGGGAGAGTAGCTTTTTGTGGAGCAGAAACTTATATGAAGAGGCCACTGAAAATTTTCCCTTCACTCCCATTTTCCAGCACCACTTGTCCATTGTGTGGGGGTTTAGTGATTGGATGTCTAGGATTGCTTGACAGTCTTCTGCCTCCACCAGCTCCCTAATCTTTGCTTCATCCCATTGGTCGGTGTCAGTGTAGGTAAGATCCTTGACCCAAAGGTGGCCATTGCTGGTGGGATCTTTGAGCTTAGGGCCTCTGCCTCTCAAGCAAGGGACCCAATTGTGATCTTGAAGTTTAACAGTGGCACCATTTCTAATGTGTATATCCAGCCCTTCATGCAGCAATCCTTTCATTTTCCATAGAGACTTCCACAGCCATGAAGAGCTTTGTTTCAGAGTGGCATCAAAAAGGGATGAGTTGGGAAAGTACCTACTCTTTAAAATTCTGTTCATGAGTAAACTGGGCTGGGTAAGTGTTCTCCATAACTGCTTTACTAGCATTGCCTCATTAAAGAGTTTTATGTCCTTGAATCCCAATCCTCCATGTTGTTTAGTAAGGGTGAGCAAATCCCATCTCTTCCAATGAATGCCTTTTGTATGTTCAGGACCTCTGCTCCACCAGAAAGTGGCAAACAGGCTAGCCACTTCTTTGCAGATGCTCATGGGAAGTCTGAAGCAGGCCATAACAAAAATGGGTAATGCAGTTAGGACTGATTGAATGAGGACTTCTCTGCCTGCCGTGGAAAGGTGTTTGTTTTTCCAGCTTATTAATCTTCTTTTAACTGCTTCAGTCACAAAGGCAAAGACTTCCTTCTTAGACTGCCCAATTCCCAAAGGAAGGCCCAAATATCTTGAGGATTTCTGAATTTGAATTCCTGGAAAAATTTGACACACTTCATTCTGAGTTACTGTACTAGTGTTCTTGCTGAAGAATACAGATGATTTGGCCACATTCACTTTTTGCCCCGAGAAGAGTTGATATCTCTTGAGTATAGATTGGAGAACTTGGGCTTGATACCTGTCAGCTTTACAAAATATTAAGGAGTCATCTGCAAACAATAAATGTGTGAGCATGGGAGCACCTCTGGCCACTGAAACTCCTCTAAAAAGGCCTCTCTCCATTTCAGCTGTGATGACTGCAGACAGAACTTCAGATACAATAATGAAGAGGTAGGGAGACAGTGGGTCTCCCTGCCTAATTCCTCTTTCAGCACTGATATAACCACTAGAGCAGCCATTTATGATGAAAGAATAAGAGACAGTGGTCACACACTCCATAATCCATTTGACAAATTGATGAGCAAAACCCATTTTGAGCATGGTAAGCCTAATACATTGCCATTCAATTCTATCAAAAGCCTTCATCATGTCTAATTTGAGTGCCATGAATGCATGTTTGCCTGTTCTGTGTCTGTTCAGAAAGTGTAGACCCTCATTGGCTATGATTACATTATCACTTAGAAGTCTGCCAGGTAAGAATGCAGACTGTGCTTCATTAATGCAACCCCCAACACAGTTTCTGAGTCTAGAAGCCAGAATTTTTGAAATAAGTTTGTAGACTATGGCACACAAGCTAATAGGTCTGAACTGGTAAAGATTCTCAGGAGTAGCACATTTTGGGATCAAGACAATCATGGTGTGGTTCCAGTAAGAGAGGAGTTTACCTGATGAGAAGAAACTGAGCACTGCATTGCAAATGTCTTCCTTGAGCATTGGCCAGAAATGTTGGAAGAATAAGGCAGGCATTCCATCTGTTCCTGGAGATTTCCCCGGGTTCATAGAGAATAAAGCTTGTTTGATCTCTTGTGGTTCCACCTGGGCAATAAGATAGCCATTGTCCTCCTCAGAAATGGTTGTAGGTACATGCTGAAGAAGATTTCCCCCTCCAGAGGATCCCTCTGATTTGAAAAGGTTGCTGTAGAACTCCTCCACATGAGTTTCAATCTCTTCCTTAGTCTCACAGATTGTGTGATGGTCTGTGATTAGCCTGCTGATGGCATTGTGCTTCCTTCTCTGCATCACCCAAGCATGGAAGAAGTGGGTGTTCTGATCACCTTCCTTGAGCCATTGAGTTCTGGTCTTTTGTTTCCAGAAAATCTCCTCAGCCTGGTTGGCCTCATCCATTTCCCTTTGTAACTTGTCCCATTCCTCCCAATTTCTGTGACCTCCTTCTTCCCTCATAGCCTCCATAGTCAGAGATAAATGTTTCAGATGATTTAGCTGGGTTGATCTGAAGTATTTACTCCACTGCAGTAAGGCCAATCTTGTCTTTTTAATTTTTTCCTTAATGCTGAAAAGAGGAGTTCCTCCACTGTGGTCCATCCAGGCTTTCTGTACCACCTCTGCAATGCCCTCCCTGTTGAGCCATCTCTGATCAAATTGGAACCTTCTCTTGTGTTTGGGTTTATCAGGCTCAGATTCCAGCAAAATCATATGGTGGTCAGAAGAGCTTTTGAAAATGGAGGTGGTCTGGCTGTGTGGATACCTTCTGAGCCATTCCAAGGAGGCAAATCCTCTGTCCAGGCATTCTTCTACAAACCCTTCCTCTGATCTATTGTTACCCCAAGTAAAAGGGTAACCTTTGTGGAGAAGCTCTGCCATGCCCATGTTAGATATGAAGTTTTGAAAACCCCTACAGCTAGCTTGAGTTCTCGGTCTACCACCTTTCTTATCTTCTGGCTTGGTAATGTCATTCCAGTCTCCAATGATTACCCATGTGTTCCCCCATGCCATCTTTTTTTGTTCAAGTTCTAACCACTGAAGCTCTCTGATGTTTCTATCTCTGCTCATGTAAACAAAAATGGCCCATCTGAAAGTCTCATTGATCTGCAGCCTGAATTCCACTTCAATACAAAAGGAAGAGCTAATAATTTGCCTAACTTCAACCTCCCTGCCCCAAAGCAGTAATAGTCCTCCACTTAATCCTCTTGGTTCCACTGATCTGCATCTATCAGTAAACCCCAAATTTTTACAAACAGTCATAGTGAACATATTAGTATTCTTAGTTTCAGATAAGAAAGTAAAATGAGGGTGGTGGGTCCTTAAGGACTCCTTGAGCTGGGAAACTGTGGAGGCCCCACCCAGGCCTCTGCAGTTCCACACCTGAGCTCTCATTGGTCACTTTGGGGCCATTTGAGGCTGGCCTTCTCCACCTGTTTCAGCTTCTTGGGTTCAGATTCTTCCTCCTTATTTTCCTCTTCCACAGTGTTGAGAAGAGTGCCACCTTGTCTGCCTCTCTTTAGTCCTTGCAGCTGGGACAGTTCCTTTCCTGTCATTTGTTTTCTTTGCAGCCTTCCTTCCTTATTGCCTGCTCTTTTCCAGGTTTTTAGTTTGGAGACAGAATCCTCCTGAGGTGCTAAATTACTGTCCTTCACAGCTAGAGCCAACTCTTTGTGAGGATATTGTGGATCTGTCTGCATTATCTCAGTGTTAGTGCAATCCATAGCTGCTAGAATAGGGGTGACCACAGTGTGAGGATTTTGTTGCTGGATTGCTTCCCCAGGAGAGCTTTGGTTATGGACAAATTCTTGTCTGGAGGAGCTGGATTCCACTATGCTAAGATAATTACTCGGTTGCAGAGGGACTGCTAAGGTGTCAAGGTTAAGTGGACAGATTGGTTTATCAGAGGTGGTAGGTGGGTTAGGTGTTTGGTGGGAGGCAGTTGGTGTTTCTGGTTCTTGGTCAGTGGATCTGCTGCCTTGCCCAGATGAATAACTGTTTCTGACCTCTGGTGCCCTTAGCCATGTACCATATTGTCCTTCTTTGATTTGTCCTTCTGCAATGTCCTTTGCCATTTTCTGACAGTCTCTATCTAGATGGCCAATCATGCCGCAGTAATAGCACAGGTTGATAAGTCTCTCATACTTGAAGGTCACGGTGATGAGTTCGTCTCCTAGCCTGAGCGATGTGCATCTTGGAAGAGCCTTGTTAATATCCACTGAGACTAGAAGTCTAATGATTCTGCCTCCTCCTGCTGCCGTGGTGATCCCTATATTTTGGGTGGCTTTGAAAATTTGACCAATCTTCAATCCTACATCTCTGCTAAGCCAATCCATTGGCACATTATGGACCTGAGTCCAGAGTTTGATTTCTTGAAAACAACTGTCTTTCTCACTGATTCCTCTTCTCCATTTATGCAGCACTAAATACTGGTTTTCATAAATCCAGTTGGTACCCAGCAAAACTTTTTGTATATCATCCTTGTTGTCGAATATAAATTGGAAGAAATTCGATGAGATTTCACGCACTTCCATACCTTGCTGGATTCTCCATATGTTCATTAGAGCTCTTTTAAGTCCGATGAGGGAAGCTCGCCTGTTGCCTATAATTTTTCCCATTAAGCTTCTGGCGCATTCCTCCGCACTACCCTTTATATCGTTGCGACCCAGGTCAATGACCAAGCTCTCCTCCCCTGAGAGGGAAAAGTTCTTTAGCCTTTGGGTCATGTCCTCTGCTGTGCCAGAGACTGCCTCTGGGGTTCCCATTAGACAATTAGGTTAGAACTGAAAATGCTAATCAGAGAAAAGGAAAAGGTTGCAAGATTGCAAGTTGGAGCTAAACAGTTGAATGAAGAGAACTTGTCAAGGACTGAACTTCACTCGAAGGAATCTGCCCTCACTCGACGGAATCTCACTCCCACCTGAGAGAATTTCGAGAAAGCAGTGAATTACTTGGTATTCTTTGATCTAAATGTCGAAAGAAAACTCTTAAGGCCATGGTTGGATACAAATATATCCATTCAGAACGAGTTTTTTTTTGTTAGACATGGTTAATTTTTAAAAGTATGGTATGATTAGTTGTTAGTAAGATTTTAAATTTATATTAAAATAATATTTAAAATAAAATATTAAAATTGATTTGATGTAAAAATAGAAGAGAGATCATGTGAAGTGATACTTAGTTAATATTATATAAACGGATGAATAATGAATTAAAATTGATGTATGATTTTCTTTATTTTTTTAGGTGCTAAGGAAGAAAAATCGTGGTTATGGTATACTTGTATCCACCGTGCCCAAAGAAAGTGATGCATTTTTCTCCCTTAGGGATACTTTAGAGGTAATTAACAACATATATCCACATATATTAATTCATATGTTATTCATAGTTTTTATTTTATGCTAATTCTCGATGTTACTTGAAGAATCAGAATGTTTCAAAAGTAGTCACGTAATTACTTTAGGATGTATCAAAAGTAGTCTCTTTTGAATTCAATTAATCAATGATAGTTACAATAACTTTAAAAATTGACCAATTTGAGAATAATTTTGTCCAAAACTTCAAATATTTTAGTTACCTTAGGATAATTTTAGATAGAAATTCAAACTTCGATCATAATATAATGAGATCCTTGTGCATGAAGTGTCGATTTTCGGCTTGAAAGTTTGGTAAAAAATTGGTATGTCATTATCACATGTCCTTTTAATTTTCCGACCACAATTTGGGTTCTCACTAAAATCTGTCATTAAGGTTAGTCAATTTAAAAAATTCGAATGCATTCAACTAGGTGATTTAAAAAATTTCCGTTAAAAAAAATTATCCTCAAATTGATCAACTTTAAATACAAATCACGAGATGTCTAATAATTAATTGAATTTCAATGAGTCTGTTTTCGATACTGATTGTAAATTACGAATACTCCCTTAAATTAGGAAACTAATTGTAAAACTTCCCAACAGCTAATCATTAGAGGAAAAATGTGTTGATAAATACTTGCAGGTTCAAGATTTTCTGGAATCACTTGTGAGAATGGCTGAAAAAGATGCAAAGCAGATGAAACAACTGCAGATAATACAGACTAACTGTGATATTAAACAATAGGTTTACTATAGTGTTTTTAATTATTAATGTGGGAAAAAAAGATTGTTATATGGATTACCTCTAATTTTGTCTTTTTATCTATGGATTCTTACTTTGGCTAATGTGTTGCCCAAGTAATGTTATTTCAAGTACTGCGCAATTATTGTATGATTTCCCTTAAATTCAGAGAATTTTTTTAGGAAAGGTTGTACAACTCTAGGAGATATTGTAGTCACTTTAGAATTCATTTTTTTTAATTTACTTTTCAGTAAATTTTCATTTATATATTTTATAATCTACTTATTAAGATTATCTACAACCATTTTGTTGAAATTATAATACCAAAATATTTATGTTTGAAGATGATACTCTCAAATTCTAAACAAATAGATCTAGAATTGCATCAAAAGACTATCGAGAAAAAACTTATTCTCACAAATGCACCTAAAAATATTGGTAAAATAAATAAATTATACGGTAAAAAATTGATCACACGCAGGAGTGTTAAAAAACAACTTTTAGTTTTCAAAACAAAGATAATTGGTCAAACATTATTTCTATTATGACCAATTTGTTATAAACCATGTCACGCTTATTAATTGGTTTACAAACTATTTGTTTTGCTTGTGTAATTAGTTTGACCACAAGGGGCCGCCAGTTATTTCAAACTTCAACATGTACGGAATCCCCACCTATTTTGTAATGGATAGATATATCTGCTCAAATATGTTAAAATATTATAATAATATTTTATCATTCAGAAACAATCACTTACAACAATTTCGTCTTAAAGCCGATACGTTTTCGTTTACAAAATGGAGAACGTACTTGCAATTAAATAAATTATGATACACCAACTGACATGAGATGAGAGGAAGTTGATAGAAGGCAACAAATGAATAGAAATTTAAGTATGAAAAGAGAAAAGTGATTCCTCACATCCAAAGTCATTCATGTTGTAGCAAATTATTTTATTTTTTTACCGAGTACCGAATCAAAAGATTCGTTCCCTGGGTCGATCTCTCGAGGAAGACGGTTCGGAATTTAGCGTTAGTCTTGATCACACACGAAAAAAAAATAAGTCCTAAACACTCTAATTACGATTGATTTGGGGAATTAATTAAAACAAACTATAACTAGAAAAACAATTTAAAGAAATAACAATTAAATTTCTAGAGAAAAAGAAGAAGTTCTAGGGGTCAGGAAATCTCATCAACTCTTAAACTATGCTGAACGCTTATTTGTTCGGTTACGAGATTTAACAAGCCTACACGTCTAGAGGGCTATACTCAATAACTCTTCGTAACAAGAGCACAAACATAAACGATAAACTCATTCAAACAAGCAACACACAGTCAATACTTTTACGAACATGTCTACTCTATACGAGCCTAAATCGGCCGACGTCTCCCCCCCTCGGTTCTAAATGTTGGTTAACTAGGTTAGAATGGTGATCAATCAACTAACCCTATAATTCACACAACTCGTATAGATTGAACAAAACACATTCTTCATAATTCAAAACAAGAATCAAATCCCTAACCCTAGGTGAATGGATTACCTCATGCTTAGATTCAATTTCATGTTAACCGGAATTAAGAACATAGAACCAATCAACAATAATAAAATAGAATTGAAAAACTTACAACCGGATTAAGAGTTGCAAGATTTCAATCCAAATATCTTTGTGTCCAATAATCCAAGCATGAGAGAAAAAAAAAAAAAGCGGAGAAATTTATCCTAACAATATTGAGTTTTTGGAGAGAAAAATTGAAAGGAATGATATTGGGGATTGTTCCTTAGGTCTGGGTGGTCGTTTTCATATATAGAGCTCGAAAAACGGAGCTAAAGCGAGTAAAAATGGAGAAAAATAAAAACAGGGTCGAACAGGTCGCGACTCGCGAGTCGCAAGTCTGACGGGTCGTGGGGTCGCGCAGCTGGTCGGAGGCTCTGTTAAAGTCGCGAGTCGCGACTTTGGTCTCGCGAGTCACGACTTTGGACTGCACTGCGCCATCTTACGTTTCGGGCTCGTTTGGGCTCGTCCGAACTCTGAATTGAGTTCCGTTTTTTGCTACGCGTCGCTAACGAACCCATCTGTCCAATTATGCTCTCGAAACTAACTTTTCCTGAAAAAAAAATTCACCCGAAGCTCCCGACTTACAAACCAAAAACGGCAAAACACGAAGAAAACTGGAAAAACAAACGAAAAAACACCTAAATACTCAAAATAAAGAAAAACACATAATAAAACACGAAACAAACTAAAAACGAAAGAAACGATCTAAAACGGGGAATAAAGAAAAGCAAAACGAGCACGAAAAATACAACAAAAATGGGACAAACAATTCACATTTGAGATCAGTGATAATTTTTCCAAACAAAAAAAAAAACATCTAGCAACAAATAGAAAATATTAAACATTAAAAGAAATCCAAAATTATACATGGGAGAGTTAGTGATGAGGCAACGTTGCCTAGAAGTAGAGGGATCAACTCCCTTGGAAAATGAGTTAGAAAATTAAATAATCAAACCAATAAATAAAAAACTTAGTCCAAATATCACATTCCAAAATGATGTTCTAGCCCAAATAAAGTAACGTACAAATTGGCACAAAAAAATTAATAAAAAGGATGCAGTAATTACAAAACCATATAAGGGAGATGTAGAGTTGGTCACATGTCACCTAATCAACTCATACATGAAATTATAATAGCATTACATCCTTATCCTTAACTTTTATATCAATTAGATAGAGAGGAACATTTATTGTGAAGATAAAATAATATACAACATAAACAAAAAAAAATATTAATATTGCTCATGGTCACGGGGGCATGCAACTCAAAATTAAAGGAGTTACAATACCTCCCTCTCCNCAACTCAGACGAAGATAGATAAAATAACCACGTTAAAATTATTGCACCCCAAAACTGGGATGACATTTGTCATTTAATGGAAGACAAAGAAAAAAAGAAAATAAATAAAAGGATGTACCAAAATGAAAAGAAAATTTTGAAAATTGAACACAATGGAGCAAAGCAGAAAAAAATATAAATATTATTAATAAATAAAAAAATAGAAAGTCCAGCCCAATTGGAGAGGGATAATAACTTATGTTAATTTGTTGATTCTGTACATGGTACAGTATTATATTTTTTCCAGTCATATATGAAAATAAAAACCCAAATTCTTTTGAATCCGTAACTTTATTTTTTTTCCTTATGAACGTTGATTCTGCAGTTTACTATTGAAAATAATTTGTTCCTGTCATATATGAAAATAATTTTTTCCTTTTCATATTCATTTAGATGAATACCAACTAGGTTATACATGTAATATGAATTACAAAGTTTCAATTGTGATTCGTAAGAAAAACCTATCTACTTCACGTTTAAACAAAAAAATAAACTTAAAAAATGATCTTGTCCATAAGTTTCCCTATTCTAAAAGTCCTTAGTTTGTATTTAATTTGGTTAAGTAACTTGTAAGTTTATTGACAAGTGTCTTAGCAAAAATAAAATGCATTAAGCACTATAAAGTATAAACAAAAGAGATTCCTTCATTTGTAATGATACATCATACGTTTCACTAAAAAATTTAAATCTACTTCTGTCTCTATTTTGTTGTGCTTGTTCTTAGAATCCATCTTAACACCATAGCTAGATTTTGTTCGTATTGTAAGACAAAATGTCAAAAGTCATTAACATTTATCAAACATGTTGATGACAAACCAACCCTCTAATGAATCGTTAAAATTCCTTAGAAAAATAAAAAAAAAAATAAAAAAATAAACACAATTTCGAAAGCAACCTGAAAATTCCTAACAAACTCAGTCGAACTCTTCACAAAACTAAAACTATCACGGATATTTTAATATTATCTCATTTCACGCAAAATATTTCATTCACATTTAATACATACTTAAAATCTAATTCAACTTTAACTCAATCTTACTATCCTTAATATTATTCAGAATTAAAAATACAAACAAATCATTCTTACACATAGAGATGTTAAATGGTCTTCGGCCCGACGGACCGACCCGTTTAGCCCGGAAAAAAACAGAGTTAGGGCCTTTTATTGGCAGCCCGTTTAAATTCGGGTTTTTTTAGACCCGGACAGTTTAGCCTGAAGCCAGCTAAGGCTAGCCCGTTTAACTTGGGTTGGGTGGTGTATATGTTTTTAGAAAAGGTAAGGAATATGTCTCATGATTCCTTGTATATTACAATTTTGCTATTCTACTTCACATGTAATTATGAGTTATAATATGTTATTATTATTATTTTGATAGATAATTATTAACAAATTTTATTCTATTTCACATCAAAATATTTAAGTCAATCAGAACGGCTATTTAAAAACAAATGAGACAAAGACCTAACATATAGAATATAGTGATAGAATATAAATTCAGCACTATGCTATATGTGAAAATTCCCGAAGCGTACCAAATAACTAGTCAAACGGTAGTTATAAGTAATAGTTCGAACATTTTTTTTTCTATTGAGAAACATTTTTGTAATGTGTGTTCATATATGAAGTGTAGTTGTATATATATAGTGGTAAATACTAAATAGTCGTTGAAAAAAATCGTTAACTAGGTGTTGTAATTTATTATTATTATTATTATTATTATTATTATTATTATTATTATTATTATTATTATTATTATTATTATTATTATAGCCCGTATAGCCCGTTTAGCCCGAAGCCAGCTAGGTTTAGGGTTAGATCCTTTTATTGGTAGCCCGTTTCGGGATTTTTAGGCCCGGACCGTTTAGCCCGAAGCCCGCTAGGGCTAGCCCGTTTAACATCTCTACTTACACATTACATCAACTTTAATTCACTATTCATACGCTTACATAATTTTAACTAACTATCATATCACACCATATCTCCTACTTTTACATCAAATCATCTTTAATTATTTTATTTTAAATACTATTTTAATATAAATTCAAAATTCCACGAATAACTAACCATATCACTTTTATTAAAATTAATCATAATTAATTAAAAAAATCATTTTAAGTGAATTAATTTGTAACAAGCACGCCCTATACAAAACTCATTTCAAGTTACGTATTTTACGTAACTTCACAATATATTTTATGAAAAAATTGTCATTTTTTATAAATATCTAAAAAATGGCCCTAATAAATGGCCTGTTGGTATATTGGAATGAAATTTGATAGAAATGGAATAAGTTGGAGAATGGAATGAATATGGAAAAGGAATGAAACAAGTTTTTCTATTGATGTGTTTGGTATATAGAAGGAATAAGACCTGAATGGAATGACATTATCATTTTATATTATCATTTATCACTATTTTATAGAAAAAAAATAATATTTATGTTAATGTTATTTTTTCTATTTATGACAATAATAAAATTATTTTATTTCTTATAAAAAAAAATATTATATTTTGATAAATATATTTTTGCGTTGTTACACTCATATATATTATATAATAGATTAGTAAATTTATATTCATATATATATATATTAACTAATACAAATATGTCATTACATAAACCCTTATAAGTATATGTGGTCGAATATAATTTTTTATATCACAATAAAATTTAGGAAGAAGAGAAACAAATTACAAGGCCCCAACGGGGTAATCTACGGCCCCAACAGGGTAATGGGACAGAGGCCAACGGCCCAAACCAAAAACACACCTAAAACAACAAACAAGAACGACAAACTGAGAGGACACGCACAAGGTTGAATAATCTATATATATAATAAGAATTAACATTTACTATAAATTGTAGAAAGAAAAGTCAAACCACATTTATTATATACTATTTTCAGCAATTTATTTATTATATATATATATATATATATATTGAACGCTAAAAATATTCTTTAAATTGCATACCCAATCAATTAATCTTAGTTTTTTTTAAATTACTATGTTTATTTTTTATTAATATGCATAAAATATAATAAATAATTCATCTTTAGATATATAATTTATAATCTTAATATACTATCATTTGGTGTAGACATATAAATCATAAAAAAAATTATTTCATGAAATTAAATATTATATTTAAATAAAATAAGGAAATTACTTTGGATCAATCGAGTGATTGAATTAGGGTACTGCCCATGTTGATTGAATTACTTTTAGGTGATATTTAAAATAGTCAAAAAACTTTGAAACAACTTGGTTAGTCCCAGGTAACTAAGTTATGTATCAATTTGACCAGACCAAATCGATTACTGAACCTAAATATAAATTTTAATATTGAAAATACTTTATTACGTGAATGTGATGTAGTCCAAACTTCAAATAATCATATTAACAATACTTTTATGACAACATGATTAATGATTTATGAATATTTATATATCATTTTATTATTATTTATGTGAACGAAATAATTATTTTATTATATTTTTTATTAATGTACGGTAAATATAAGATTTTCAGAACCGGACCGTCATCGAAACGATCAAGTTATTTTATTAAATCATTTGTGGTTGTTCAGATTTTAATACATAATACTTTTATATATATATATAGTACTTTTCTAATTAATTTAAATAAAAAGTGTTACTTAAATATCTAAACAATTTATAAATTCAACTGTTTAAACTATATGATAAACAATTTATATATCTATATTTTATTTAAATATGTAATTTTATTTAAAATAATTTTTAATGTAACAAAATTTGTTTAGAAAATCGTATCGATCCTACCAGTCCAACAGACTGGTGTTGAAGGATTCGATGGCAAATATTTTATTTAAGCGCACTAGACTGGTTATAAACCGGTTCTCGGTCCATCCGGTCAGACTGTGTCCAACCCGGTTTAATTTAAAAATAATGGGTAAATCATGATTAATGTTATTTATTTATTTAATTTATAATACAATCAACATATTGTTTTCCTATGCATCGCACGGGGCACGCATTAGTTTTGTTAAAAGAAAATTAATAAATTCATTCCTAATAGATTTAGAATGGTTAAAACTATGGGTTATGGGAGGAATGAATAATCTCCTAATAATGGGAATAGTGATTCTATAATAATATTCATTCCTTAATAGCAAACGATACAAGTATAGGAATAAGAATCAAATAAAGAATAATCATTTCATTCATAGTCCATTCTCATATACCAATCCACAGTCTGCCCTATACAAAAGCTACCCCCACTCAACGAACTTTCCAGAAGCCCTTCAACAACCCTTTCGGCTTACTCTATTTTCATTCATTCCCAATTCCCAAGATCCAATCAGATCCCCCAATTTCATCCGAGTATGGCCGACGAAGCTAAGGCCAGAGGCAACGCCGCCTTCTCCGCCGGCGACTACGACGGCGCCGTCCGCCACTTCACCGACGCAATCGGCTTAGCCCCCACCAACCACGTTCTCTACTCCAACCGATCCGCGGCCTACGCTTCCCTCGGAAAATTCTCCGATGCCCTTTCCGACGCGCAGAAGACTGTCGAGCTCAAGCCCGACTGGGGAAAGGGCTTCTCGCGCCTCGGCGCGGCTCATATGGGCCTCCTCAACTACGGCGAGGCCGTCTCGGCCTACCGGAAGGGCCTCGAGATAGACCCCAACAACGAGGCCCTCAAGTCCGGGCTCGCCGATGCGGAGGCCGCCTGGGCCCGGAGCTCGAGGCATCCTCGGGGAGGGCCGGGCGCGAGCCCTTTCGGGGAGGCGTTCGGGCCGGAGATGTGGGTCAAGCTGGCGAGTGACCCCGGCACCCGGGGTTTCCTCCAGCAGCCCGATTTTGTGAAGATGCTGCAGGATATTCAGAAGAACCCCAATAATTTGAACCTGTATTTGAAGGATCAGAGGGTTATGCAGGCATTAGGGGTGCTATTGAATTTGAAATTGCAGACGAGGGACTCTGAGCAGGATGTGGAAATGCCCACGGCATCCAATGGTGGGTCTCCAGAGAGGAAAAGGCCGGCGGCAGTGGAGACCGAACCCAAAAAGGAGGATAAGAGGCCTGGAAAAGTGCCGGAGCCCGAGCCTGTGGAGGTTTCTGATGAGGAGAGGGAGAAGAAGGAGAGGAAAGCGCAGGCCCTGAAAGAGAAGGAATCTGGGAATGCTGCGTACAAGAAGAAAAATTTCGAGACTGCAATTCAGCACTATTCGAAGGCAATTGAGCTGGACGATGAGGATATTTCCTTCCTCACTAATCGAGCTGCCGTCTACCTTGAGATGGGCAAGGTAACCCTAGTTGTGTTCTCTTGATAGTATTTTAGCTGTTGATGCATTTATGGTTGTAATTGTGAAAGATTCTGCTTATTATGGGGGATAGATAAGTTTGTGTATGTTACATTATGCTGTAGTTAATTAAATGTTTTGATAAGCATTGATATTTTCCTGTTAGGTCTATCTTGAGTATTTGCTATACCTAGTGAATTTCGAGTAATTTATGACGGTAGATTAGGCTGCTAGTGACATCTCTTTGCAGCAACATTCTAGGCATGATGACTTGAGTAAATATTTTGGTATCTTGTGTTCTTTGTAAGTGGTAAACTTGATCCGACAAGTAACTACCCACACGGTTAGGATCAAACTTACCGTAAGGTATCAATCTTGTGTGGCATACTTGACTAGGGATAAAATAATATCAAATTTCCCACGTTCTTGTTTTTCGTATTCCAAATATTTGTCTTTTCTATTCTATGGGTACAATTGCTACATGTTTGTGATGTCTTTTCAAATTATTTGCTGAGAATGTGATAGATAAAACTATCATAGTGAAAGTGAATTACAAATACCTTTTGCACTGCAATTACAATTTTCGAATTAAGTTCAATGTTCCAATTTTCAGTATGAGGAATGCATTAAAGATTGCGACAAGGCTGTAGAAAGGGGTAGAGAACTGAGATCGGATTTCAAAATGATAGCCAGGGCCTTCACAAGAAAGGGATCTGCCCTTGTGAAGATGGCGAAATGTTCAAATGATTACGAACCTGCCATCGAGACTTTCCAGAAAGCTCTCACAGAGCATCGTAACCCAGACACACTGAAAAAGCTCAATGATGCAGAGAAAGCAAAGAAAGATCTAGAACAACATGAGTACTTTGATCCACAGATAGCTGATGAGGAACGTGAGAAAGGTATTGAAATGTTCTTTCCTTCCTAGTAGCTAAATGTGTGTGGACAAGTATTAATAAGTTGCTCGGTTGTGAATTGTAGGTAACCAGCATTTTAAAGAGCAGAAGTATCCTGAGGCCATCAAGCACTACACGGAAGCAATTAAGCGAAACCCAAAAGATCCAAAAGTACTCGAGACCTGAAAATTACTTTGTGAATGCATGTTTAAGACCTTGTTTTGCGTATTTGAATTGGTTGAATTGAATATGCAGGCATACAGCAACAGAGCTGCTTGTTACACAAAACTTGGAGCAATGCCTGAGGGACTTAAAGATGCCGAAAAATGCATTGAACTCGATCCAACTTTCTCTAAAGGCTATACCAGGAAAGGTGCTGTCCAATTTTTCATGAAAGAGTACGAAAAAGCATTGGAAACATATCAGGAGGGATTGAAGCATGATGCTCGCAACCTGGAATTGTTAGATGGTGTTAGGAGGTAGACATATTAACCTACTATCTCTTTCATTATATTATTTTAATTCGTTGGTAAAATTTTGTTATACTGTTGCTCATGTGCAGGTGTGTAGAGCATATAAACAAGGCCAGCCGTGGAGATTTGAGCCCCGAGGAGTTGAAAGAGAGACAGGTTTGATGATATACAGTCTTGTATATATATATATATATATATATATTTATAATACGGTTTGGCTAAGCTATGTCTCACACATGATATTTGTTTAAAATATTATTTCAGGCTAAGGCAATGCAAGATCCTGTGATTCAGAACATCCTTACAGATCCAATAATGAGTCAGGTATTGGAGGTTTTTGCTTAGTTTCACTACAAATTTTATGATACAACTCTTCACTTATCAACACCAAAAAACCTAACTATGACACTCACACACTTTATTTATAGCCAACCCTCCCTCTAATGAACTATTTTACAATATTTTACAACGTCTGTGTAGGTGCTAGTTGACTTGCAAGAGAATCCAAGGGCTGCACAGGAACACATGAAGAATCCTCTCGTCATGAACAAAATACAGAAACTCATCAATGCAGGAATTGTTCAAATGAGATAGGCAGTTTAACAAGAAAGAGAGCTGATTTTTTTTTTCGACAGACATCATATGATAATTTTTCTGTTGGTGGTTGTTTCTTATTGAAGTGCTTTGAAGTTTTACTTTGTTTCTTATTACGCGAAAGTTAATAATGTAAATGACGGTTTTGCTATGAAGCCAACAGTTGGCTCTATAGTAGAGCCAACCTTCTATATACAACAAATAAACCTACCATATTAATAAAATTATATTAGTGTTATTTAAGTAATCAAAGAATATGGTAAGTTTATTTGTTGTATATAGAAGGTTGACTTCACTATGGAGCCAACTGTTGGCTTCTTAGCAAAATCGAATGACGAGACGTTGTTTGCACGGACAGTATGTGAACAATTTGTCTCGTTTTTCGCTAGATGCTATTGCAATGTTGAACAGGGGCCATATATAGATGTCAGTAACGAGTATTGGTGCGTGATTTGATACATTTTCGTTGGATAATGCTTTTGTGTGGCAGTGTGGGGTACAATAATTCTTACTTGCACCAATTTTATTTTTAATAGTTTTAATAAGTTTGAAATTTATGTACTTTGTTTATGAACTGTACAGGCTGGAAATACTCGTAATACCGTATACTGATTATTGGTCTGGTATAAATAAACATAAAATACCAGATTTATGTTAATAATGAATAGTATTGAAAATAGAGCAAAATAATGGTCAAAATAAAAGAGAATTTGTACCATGGCTAGGCCGGGGCATAATTTAGGGTGATATTTATAACACAAGTACAACACTCGTGTATTACACGGATTTTTGTTAAAAGTTTATTCTTAAATTTTAAAATTAATGAAAAAAATTATTTTAAATTTTATTTATCTTTTACAAAAAAAATATATATTATTATATATTTTAGAATGACGCTTGTTATTTGTGCGACTTACATGTGTTATATTATAGTAATTTTTATAGCTTATATCATATAACTATTTGAAATATAAATATATTCATTGATAAATAATTTTATTTTTCTAAATAATATTTAAAAACAATTTTATTGCTGTTATAATGATAAATATAATTAATTTTTTTTATACATACTATATGGATGTTAAATCAAAGTTCATCAAGAGATTATTAATTTGATAATTATATATGTAAAACTGATAAAAAATACAAAAATTATTAACTTTTAAAATACATTTACAATTCAATTGTTATAATAAGAAATAATATTAAAATATAATTAATACATGTAACATGACCATAAATAATAAACATAATTATGGATAATTCAGACTTAATTATTTTTAGATTGAAAGTAAATTAAAATCTACTCAAGCTTTGTAAATTTTGCCACATAGGATCTCGAAACGTGCGAGACTTACACTTAAGCTAGCACGTTTTAAATTAATATATAAGAGAGGTTAATTGAAAAGTAATGTTAAGAAATAATATTAAAATATAATTAATACATGTTACCTGACCATAAATATTATGTATGGGTAATTTAGACTTAATTATTATAAGATTGAAAGTAAATTAAAATTTACCCAAGCCTTATAAATTTGCCACATAAAATCTCGAAACGTGCGAGACTGCCACTTAAGTTAGCACGCTTTAAATTAATATATAAGAGAGGTTAATTGGAAAGTAATGTTTGTCATTTGTCCATAGTACACTCACAACTTTTCTTATCTTGCCATTTAATGTTGTGTATTCCATTTTCTTATGTTACTAAATTCCTTAAAAAATTAATAAATTATACATATTTCATCCATCTATAATGAGTAATTTTGTCAAATTAAACTCCCCCATGTTTAATGAATAATAATTGACACTCATATAATAGTTATCATACTTAAAAAACGATTTTTATTAAGGTGATAAAAGCAAATTTATAACACCAATTAATTATTAAATTATTCTTCTAGTTTGGGCAATTAGGTTTTTCACACTCATCGAACATTCGAGAATGTGACTGTTAAAGTCTCGTGGACTCCTAGAACCTCTAGCTCCCTCTCTTTACTCCACCAATTTTTTCTCCCCTTCAAAAACAATCTTCATCTTCTCCATTAATCCACCATTAACAACTCAAGCAATCGCCTGTAAATTTCCGGTTTATTATATTCCGAATCCCACAGCTTAAGCTAATCCCCCACAACACCCTTTCGCATATGGCGGACGAAGCCAAGGCCAAAGGCAACGCCGCATTCTCCGCCGGCAGCTACGACGACGCCGTTCGCCACTTCACCGACGCTATTGCCCTAGCCCCCACCAACCACGTACTCTACTCCAACAGATCCGCCGCCTACGCCTCCCTCGGCAAATTCTCCGAGGCACTTTCCGATGCGCAGAAGACCGTGGAGCTCAAGCCCGACTGGAGCAAAGGCTACTCGCGCCTAGGCGCCGCGCACATGGGCCTCCAAAGCTACGGCGACGCCTTCTCCGCCTACAAGAAGGGCCTCGAGATCGACCCCGGCAACGACGCCCTCAAGTCCGGGCTCGCCGATGCCGAGGCAGCTTTGACACGGAGCTCCAGGCAGCCTCGGGGAGGGCCCGGCGCGGGCCTTTTCGGAGATGCATTCGGGCCGGAGATGTGGGTCAAGCTGGCGAGTGATCCCAGCACGCGGGGGCTCCTTCAGCAGCCGGATTTTGTGAAGATGCTGCAGGATATTCAGAAGAACCCGAATAATTTGAACCTTTATTTGCAGGATCAGAGAGTTATGCAGGCATTGGGGGTGCTATTGAATTTGAAGTTCCAGACGAGGGACTCTGAGCAGGATGTGGAAATGCCCACGGCTTGTAATGGTGGATCTCCAGTGAGGAAGAGGCCCGCAGCAGCGGGGGCTGAGCCCGAGAAGGTGGAGAAGAGGCCGGAAAAGGAGCCTGAGCCTGAGCCGATGGAGGTTTCTGAGGAAGAGAGGGATAAGAAGGAGAGGAAAGCACAGGCACAGAAAGAGAAGGAGTCTGGGAATGCTGCGTACAAGAAGAAGGATTTCGAGACTGCAATTCAGCACTATTCTAAGGCGATTGAGCTGGACGATGAGGATATATCTTTCCTCACTAATCGGGCTGCTGTTTACCTCGAGATGGGCAAGGTATCTATTGTTCTTTTTAATTGCTAATATTTATTTTTTCTCTAATTTTCCCAGTTTGTGTTCTTAGCTTTGTGAATGCTCATCTGTTGATCATGTGTTACAATTTTATGGTTTCATGTTAGATCTATCTAGTGAATTTGCTATTAGCATTTGATCAAGTTAGGTTTACTATTAATGCAGTGACATTGTAGAGATGATGTCTTGAGTAAGTTTGGTATTTCTGTGTTCTTCTTAAGTTAGAACTTGTGTAGGATAAGATAACATCTGATTGTCTAACCTGTCAAATGGGAGAGTAGAATATGGCTTGCACCTCTCATACGATGAATCTTAATGTACAATAGCATGCAATAGGGATGTTTAGCCTTTACCTCTCAGTTCACATTCTCTGCATTTTGTAATTATTTATGCTTTGGCAATGGAGGAAGTCTTTGTCGACTGTAACTTATTGAGTAATTTGGAATAAATAAGCCCTTATCCCAATTTTTGGTTCCACTAGACTTGTACAAAGATCAAGTCTTGGTGGTGGTAGTATTTTGGTAGTAATTTGTTATCTTATTGCTGCATGTTTTTGACACAATGTGATGGAGTTGACTGAAAATGTGATGGAATTGACACAATGAGAGTGAATTGGAAAAAAATAAAAATAAAAATTGTCCTGTAATTGAACTTCGTTTCTGTAATTTCAGTACGAGGACTGCATCAAAGATTGTGATCAGGCTGTAGAAAGGGGTAGAGAACTGAGATCAGATTTCAAGATGATAGCCAGGGCCTTGACAAGAAAGGGGTCTGCCCTAGTCAAGATGGCAAAGTGTTCAAAGGATTATGAACCTGCCATCGAGACCTTCCAGAAAGCTCTAACTGAGCATCGTAACCCAGACACACTGAAAAAGCTCAATGATGCTGAGAAAGCTAAGAAAGATCTAGAGCAACAGGAGTACTTTGATCCACAGATTGCTGATGAGGAGCGTGAAAAGGGTATTTGAAATGTCATTTGTTTACTTTAGTTCATCATAGTTCTTTTATCATTTTTTTAGCCAAATATGTGTGATAACGTGTTATTAACACCGTGCTTGGCCATGAATTGTAGGTAATCAGTACTTTAAAGAGCAGAAGTACCCTGAGGCTATCAAGCACTACACAGAAGCAATTAAGAGGAACCCCAAAGATCCAAAGGTACTTTAGATGTAAACTACTTTTGATTGCATTTTTGGAGTAACGACCTTTTTTTTTTTTAATGGTGTGTGTATTCTGTTTGTTGGTATATTTGAACTGGAATATGCAGGCATACAGCAATAGGGCTGCGTCTTACACGAAACTTGGGGCGATGCCTGAGGGACTCAAAGATGCTGAAAAATGCATTGAACTCGATCCAACATTCTCTAAAGGCTATACTATTCTTTTTTATCCTTTTTTGTTTATACAGTTTCACTTTTTTGTGCAGGTGTGTAGAGCAAATAAACAAGGCTAGCCGTGGAGATTTGAGCCCTGAGGAGTTGAAAGAGAGACAGGTTTGTTCTTCTATGTATGTATAATAATACGGTTTGGCTAAGCTATATCTCACACATGATATTTGTTTAAAATATTATTTCAGGCCAAGGCAATGCAAGATCCTGAGATTCAGAACATCCTTACAGATCCAGTAATGAGACAGGTATGCTGAAGATTTTTGTTCAAATTGTAAATGGATTCATTATCCGATCTTTGATAATGATATGCTGGTGTTCATTGATTGCAATGGTAAATTCTGGGCATGTAGGTGTTAGTCGATTTCCAGGAGAACCCAAAGGCTGCACAGGAGCACACCAAGAATCCTCTTGTTATGAATAAAATACAGAAACTCATTAGTGCAGGAATTGTCCAAATGAGATAGGCAGTATAACAAGAAAGAGGAC